GCACAAAATTAAAACGTAAAGGCACAGTTGTACATGCTAATATAGTTCTTAACAGTGATGTGAACTGTGGGCATAGAATCCAACTAGTCCAAATCTGGATAGCCAAGGAATCTGTATTTTAAAGAACGTCACACTCACGAAATATAAGAAGTTGTTATCCATAAAGCCTGTCAATATTGTACTTTCAAACTTCCAACTTCTAAAGTGCCACTCATAGACTTTTCCAAACCTGATTCCAAACACGAAGGTTCAGATTGAAGTGCATGATTTCATGCAACATTGTAATTCAGTCATCCTGATCTTTCAAAGTCACAAGTAACGTCCACTGACAGATAAATATGATCTTCTAGTAGATATTTAAATAGGTCAGTCATCGATAACAGGAACCCTTCAGCATCACCGTAGGCCATAGTCCCTTCATGTTCTGAGAAACATGTTAATGCCAAGTACGAATTATCACAGGTACTTATCACAGGTGCGAATTACCAGTAATGAACATACATGACAGATTCGCTATAGTATTATTCCCTTATGTTTAATTATAACCCTGATTTCGTTAATATACTTATGAAATAAATATACTTTTGTCCGACATTGACAAATGGTATGTACCGTTGCTGTACATTTTCATTGCGGTCACATTCTTGAACGCAAGCTTTAGACACGAATCAAATGTGAACATCACTCCAGCGCTGAGACATTTCGACACAGACACTCTTACTCTTGTCGTACAACTGTATCTCAGGTCCCCATAATCTGTAGCGTTAATGCCTAAATTAGATCTTATAACACCCGTAACAAATACATCATCCATAGGGATAAAGCGTGTCACTGAGGACGCATGGTAAAGCTTGAGCAAAACGTCTTTGGATACAATAAAGCCAAGTCCTTGAAAAATATCGGGCCATGTTTTAAACGGATATTGGGCTGTTGAAACGTACCATTTCACTGTAGGATCCCTCCATGGTACTAACCTGTGAGCTATTGCGCCTAGGAGCTGATTAGCAGGTTCCTTCAGCTGAGTGAGATACTTGACAATCACATATGCGTTCATAAACATATCATCATCCATCTTCAACACAAAGGCTGCTTCAGGACAATGGTTCAGCATCCAGTGATAACCCATTATGTGTTTTATACCCAGATTTCTATACACATCAATGAAATTCCCTTGAATCATGTCTTTAAATTTAAAGCGAGTTTAGTAAGTGAGTTTAGTTCACTCAGTTCATTAGTAGTGAGTTATTCAATTTCTTACATAAACTTGCAAGCTATAAGAATGTTGGAATTGACAGTTTTCATCATCATTTCCACAACTTCAGTAATGGCAAATGCACAACAGGTTTCTTCCTACTTCTCGTGGTGGAACAGATATATATGTAAATGGTTTATGTGAATGTTTATTGTGAACAAGAAGAAAAGTTTAGAATGGATCTCATGGAGATGCATTCAGAAAGACTGCGTATCAGTCTCAACAGTGAACGACATAAATTCCCAAATACCTAGAGACCACAACCACGGACCTGTACACAATGAAGTCAAGGTGAATCTTTTCAACTGTACCAAAAATACTGACGGTACCCGCACAAACAACAACATCGGGGGTTGGCATGGCCGTCCCAAGAAGGTTGTCGGAAAACAACATCCCAACCTTTTCGAGATGGCCACGTTCTTGGCAGATGAACAAGGACTGAACGAGGCAAAAATGCTTCAGTACAATGCTGGCCAAAGACTGCCCCCCGAAAAGAAGAAGTACAGAGATTTGGAGGAACGACCAGATAAGCTGAAGTTCAGGCTTGCAAATATCGACCTGACATTAATGGCGTACCTGGACAATGCCTACTATTGTGTGAACTTGTTGAGCTCGTGATTATTGGTTCTGGTATATCTGTGTTGCCTGTATATTTTGCTTTCACCATATATGATTTGTATATTTTATATAATTTAAATCATAAGGAAATGGTCACTTGGTAGTGCTATTGTATGTTATGTTATTTAAAGTTGCTTATTTTAGTGCTATAAACTTTCTATGTATATATTATGTTATATGAATGTGTATTACCTTGTATATAGACAATAGAAATTACCGTCCCAATGAATGTTTAAATAAGAATGACATTTTACAGCGCTCTACAACAGTTGCTTCGCGATGGTGACTGCTTCTTTACAGCTTCAGCGCTCCAACTATCAGGAAGTATGACTGTCCCTCAATTGATAAAACAACTTTGTGATCATTTAGAAGAAAGGATGAATGAATACATTGACTTTTTTCCTGTCAAGGAGGACAGTAATCTAGAAAAATGGCAGGATTATTTACTGGAAATAGAAAAGCTGCGTGAGGCTGGCTACTTCTCCAACAGAGTTGCAGACTTCCTCCCTCTGTCACTGGCAAACTGGTCAGGCCAATGTGTTCGAATATTTTGCAGCAAAGCATCTGTCTCTCTCGTAGACATTACGCCAACAACCCAAGGAATTGAGAATAAAACAACGAATTATCTTGGCATATATCTCGATTACAGCACTTCCCGACCACTATGATAGGCTGATACAGTTTGGTACCACACACACAAGCTGCTAAGATAGACTGATACAGTTTGGTACCACATACACACGCTACTGAGATAGACTGATACAGTTTGGTACCACATACACTAGCTGCTGAGATAGACTGATACAGTTTGGGACCACATACACAAGCTACTGAGATAGACTGATACAGTTTGGTACCACATACACAAGCTGCTAAGATAGACTGATGCAGTTTGGTACCACATACACAAGCTGCTGAGATAGACTGATACAGTTTGGTACCACACACACAAGCTGCTAAGATAGACTGATACAGTTTGGTACCATATACACAAGCTGCTAAGATAGACTGATATAGTTTAGTACCACATACACACGCTACTGAGATAGACTGATACAGTTTGGTACCACATACACAAGCTGCTGAGATAGACTGATACAGTTTGGGACCACATACACAAGCTACTGAGATAGACTGATACAGTTTGGTACCACATACACAAGCTGCTAAGATAGACTGATGCAGTTTGGTACCACATACACAAGCTGCTGAGATAGACTGATAACCCAAACAGTTTGGTACCACACACACAAGCTGCTAAGATAGACTGATACAGTTTGGTACCATATACACAAGCTGCTAAGATAGACTGATATAGTTTAGTACCACATACACACGCTACTGAGATAGACTGATACAGTTTGGTACCACATACACTAGCTGCTGAGATAGACTGATACAGTTTGGGACCACATACACAAGCTACTGAGATAGACTGATACAGTTTGGTACCACATACACAAGCTGTTGAGATAGACTGATACAGTTTGGTACCACATACACAAGCTGCTAAGATAGACTGATACAGTTTGGTACCACATACACAAGCTGCTGATATAGACTGATACAGTTTGGTACCACATACACAAGCTGCTAAGATAGACTGATACAGTTTGGTACCACATACACAAGCTGCTAAGATAGGCTGATACAGCTTGGTACTACATACACAAGCTGCTAAGATAGACTGATACAGTTTGGTACCACATACACATGCTGCTGAGAGAGACTGATACAGTTTGGTACCACATACACAAGCTGTTGAGATAGACTGATACAGTATGGTACCACATACACAAGCTGTTAAGATAGGCTGCTACAGTTTGGTACCACATACACTTGCTGCTGAGATAGACTGATACAGTTTGGTACCACATACACAAGCTGCTGAGATAGACTGATACAGTTTGGTACCACATACACAAGCTGCTGAGATAGACTGATACAGTTTGGTACCGGATACACATGCTGCTGAGAGAGACTGATACAGTTTGGTACCACATACACAAGCTGCTGAGATAGACTGATACAGTTTGGTACCACATACACAAGCTGCTGAGATAGACTGATACAGTTTGGTACCACATACACAAGCTGCTGAGATAGACTGATACAGTTTGGTACCATATACACAAGCTGCTGAGATAGACTGATACAGTTTGGTTCCACATACACAAGCTGCTGAGATAGACTGATACAGTTTGGTACCGCATACACAAGCTGCTGAGCTAGACTGATACAGTTTGGTACCACATACACAAGCTGCTGAGATAGACTGATACAGTTTGGTACCACATACACAAGCTGCTGAGATAGACTGATATAGTTTGGTACCGCATACACAAGCTGCTGAGATAGACTGATACAGTTTGGTACCGCATACACAAGCTGCTGAGATAGACTGATATAGTTTGGTACCACATACACAAGCTGCTGAGATAGACTGATACAGTTTGGTACCACATACACAAGCTGCTGAGATAGACTGATACAGTTTGGTACCACATACACAAGCTGCTGAGATAGACTGATATAGTTTGGTACCGCATACACAAGCTGCTGAGATAGACTGATACAGTTTGGTACCACATACACAAGCTGCTGAGATAGACTGATACAGTTTGGTACCACATACACAAGCTGCTGATATAAACTGATACAGTTTGGTACCACATACACAAGCTGCTGATATAAACTGATACAGTTTGGTACCACATACACAAGCTGCTGAGATAGACTGATATAGTTTGGTACCGCATACACAAGCTGCTGAGATAGACTGATACAGTTTGGTACCACATACACAAGCTGCTGAGATAGACTGATACAGTTTGGTACCACATACACAAGCTGCTGAGATAGACTGATACAGTTTGGTACCGCATACACAAGCTGCTGAGATAGACTGATACAGTTTGGTACCACATACACAAGCTGCTGAGATAGACTGATACAGTTTGGTACCACATACACAAGCTGCTGAGATAGGCTGCTAGTAGTTGGTAGACACTACAGGTCCACATACACAAGTTGGTTAGTTCTCTCAACACCATATGGTCACTACTTGGCTCAAACAAAACCAAAAATAATCGACTGAAAAAAATACGTGTTAATAACAGAACCAACAAACCTGCGACTTGACAGAACATGTTTCCTACCTCCCGTTTAGTTCCTGAAACGAAATCTTGTCATTACATTTAACGTTTCATCAGTGTTCAGTTCAATATATACTGCAAGCTGCGCCAGTAACACGTAAGTATAGTGCTGTGTTACCTACATTGTCGATTAACGACTATTGTTTCATTGTCAACAGTCGGGCCTCGGGCTTTTTAGTTGTCAGAAAATCTTTAAACGTCTCTCTGTTGCCAGGGCAGTTGCGAACATATGGTTCATAAAATGAAAATTACACACTTTACTGTCTTTAATACAAGTTCTTGTTTGTGTAAGTTTCCAATTATATAACAGTATTAAACTCATTGTTCCATTTTAGACACAAATGAGGTGGATCAGTGTTTTGTCAAGGTTGTCATAGCAAATTCTCCGTCCTTTAGATTCAGCGAGCAAATCCATTAAAGATTTGGATAAGCTTAGGTTGTAGAATAATATGTTGTTATTTGTTTACTTTCCCTCTCCATTCCGCAGGAAGATTATTGATTAAACTTTCAAAATCAAGAAACGTGCCTTTACTGTTGTAGGTCTTTTTATTATGATATCAAATGAAAGACAGCCTGCATTACCACGTGCATCCCTTATAGCTGATTCTTTGTTTAAACCTGTCTTTTATTTAAAACATGTTTGGGTTTTTATTGTGAACTTGATTTGTGGTTGTCTTGAAGACACATATCCCAAACCATTATATTGAAAACCTATTGTGTTATAATTGTAAGAATGAGTCAACTGTTAACAAATGAGTTTTTATAAAATCTATGTACATTCTATAATACAATTATGAAAACTGTTACAGTACAATCTTCAATGTAAACTATCCCTATTATGCCGAGTATACCAGCCTGTGCGTGATGAAGCTCTGTTCTAAAAAAATATGTTCTGTTTTGGTAGTACTATATGTTTAATTGAGACAGCCATACAAGTATGATTTTCGAAGGGTTTGTTTTACAATCCTACCACTTAAAGCAGCTAGTTGAATGTACCACAATTCATTAGGTGTTTAGATTGCCAGGGAACTGTGGCCACGTTGGAAGCTCGCCATGTGTTTTAGTGTGTAAGTAGGCTTTGGCATCATTTCATTCAGAGTGATATGGGAGGGTGTGGTGTATGTCTTTAAAACGTTATACGGGTTGGTCGTAAACATATTCAGGTCAAGTTAGGCACGGCCAGGGGACACAACTCTGCACAACGGAATCCGCCCTTCAGCGACTGGGATACTGGGACAATTAGTCAAGGAAATCAAGATGTCGTATTGACAAATATATATCTACAAAATCCACATGGAATACATAATGTCAAGAGCTGTCATTCATTCATTCGTTCATTCATTCATTCATTATGGGGCACTAGCTAGGGTTACCCTAGTCACCGTTTTATGTTAAAGTAATCAATGCTCCTCAATTAATTTCATTCATTCATTCATTCATTCATTCATTCATTCATTCTGGGGCATTAACTTGGGTTACCCTTGTCACCTTAATTAATCAATGCTCCTCAAAAAGCTCATTTGTATTAGACTTAGAATGAGCGAAAATAACATCACTGAAAAAAAACAATGCGCCATGATGTTGTATGGCGAATTACAAATAGATCAATACATTCTGTTTGTAAAGGCTAGACTCTCTGATAGATTGAAGTCCCATCTGTTGACTCTCATTTAAGATAATCGTTACGTTATCAACCCGTAACAGCACTGTACAGCACAGTACAGTAATTACACTGCTGTGGTAGCTCTTCAGATCTTAACTGATTACTAACATTTGACCTTCGCTTGTTCATGCTTAGAGTGAGTGACTATGTAGTTGGTTACCGAGTTTGCTCGTCACACCAAAGACCCGGATTCGATTCCCAACGTCCATACAATCAAGCCAAGTTCTGGTTTCCCCCGTCGTGATATTGCTAAAGCGGTATCTGAGAGGATTCATTCACTCGCTCTCAGTATTGGTCTTCCCGATCTTGGGCGGTCTTGGGCCTGTCCTGTACATGGTAGCGATTTACGAATTTGCTGATGATCGCCTGGCTGCAGTTCTTGCCTGCTCATGTTTTGAAGCCCCCTAATTGTCAAAGCTATCGCCCTGTCTCGTTGCGCTTGCGTAAGTCTTGGCATATTCGTGTTGGTTTGTTGGTTACTGCATCCTTGCTCTGTCCAACATCGGTATTTATGCCACAATCATGCGCGTGCATTCGGACCAATGTCCCACAATTACGATTTTCACTTTTTGAAAAATGCAGGATTCGTACGAAGTTTTTTTGACAGCTGGGTCGTTATCGGGACCATGTTGCGTTTTGGCCAATGTCTGCTTGGTATTACATTGTGTAGGCGTTTTTGTTTTTTCTACAATTACTTTAAGAGTGATAACTTTCTTTTGCCCGGTAGCTTATTACTGTTACTACAAGGAAGCTATTATATACCTCACTATCATTGACGGCGTATACAAGTAATCTCGTAGTCTTCATCTCCAAACAGTTATGCTTATATAGATCAACAGGGGATGAATGGGTATGATTGTACGCCGCCTTTAACAATATTTCAGCAAAATCACGGTTATGGACACCAGAAGATGGGCTCACACATTATACCCATGTGGATAATTGAACTTCGGCGAACGCCTTAACAACTGGGCTAATTATAAGCCAAAGCCCCACAGTTCACATTTTCATATTCACAATTTTCACCCTTTATGCTTTGTAGGCTGGAATACGTGAAAACATACAGTATGAATACTGCTTCCAAACCGCGATAAAATATTCTACACTACGTAAAGATATTGTAATCAACATCTGGAGAACATTTGTAACACGATAAACTGATCAAAATAAGTTAGGGATCAGTAATATGTCAGGAATCTTAGATATCAAATAAAAATATATAATCATTTTTGTTCAGTTTTTACCAAGCCTACTCCTGTTACATCCGTGATATTTGGGGTTACACTTCCTAAATAAAGTACAGATTCTACAATCGGGATTCGAACCCGCAGGATTAGGAATTGAATGGTGGAAGCCGCAGTTGGTTAGACGGCTGATTTTGTGTGGTGGTGATTAAGTGCCTTACTTTGAGAGTGTGGGTTCGAATCCAGGATGAGACTCAACCTAACAAAAGTACCAGAATCTGTTCTTTACTAAGGAAGAGTAATCCCAAATATAACGTATGTTACATTTGACCATTTTCTAAATGACATTATGTATTCAGTACTCCCGTTACACCTGCAATATGGACTCGCATGTCTAGTATGGAGAATATGGCCTCAGATGAATAGTGTGAGTGAGTGAGTATGGTTTTACGCCGCTTTTAGCAATATTCCAGCAATATCACGGCAGGGGCCACCAGGAATGGGCTTCACACGTTTTACCCATGTGGGGAATCGAACCCGGGTCTACGAGCAAACGCTTTAACCACTAGGCTACCCCACCGCCCCAGATGAATAGTGTGTGCCACTGACATTGCTTGAACTTTGAACAGCAGTATGTCGTAATCGTGTCACGATCGGTACATATGCAGCACTGACACATTGGAGAGAGGAAAGAGACAGACAGACAGACAGACATACAACAGACAGAGAATAGGGAATGGTATAGTAGTGCTATTTGAGTAATCATGTCACGGTTGGTACATATGCAACACTGAGATAATACTTTTGTGTTCGCAGCAAGGTACTGGTTGCACTACACGACGGGTGGTCTGAAAGACTAGTGAAATTAATATGTACTTTGATGATACGTTATTCCAGGCGAAATACTTACTATAGCAAGCTGAAGGGTATTTTAATCTAACCGCAGACATAACTGTAGTGGGTCCACTGTAGTGATAGGTGGTGTGTGATTACACGCTGACCGGTCTGCTTCATCGATGTCCCTGACACGCCTCGTAGATTATACCACGTGATACGTAAGATAACGGTCAAGTACGTATGTCACGTGGTACGCCCATACGCAGTGAGTGACGACTCCATGGAGACTTAAGGTAGGAAGCTGTGTGTGCTGCGTGCAGGTGTGTGCATGTGTGAGAAGTTGGACGGCGTGGGGTGTTTTCTGTGTGTATGTTTATATGTGTGTGCATCTGGGAGAGGGGGGTGGGGAAGAGGGGGATTGAAAGGAGAAAGGAGAGAGAATGATCAGAAGAGGGCAGAGGGAAGAGGAGAGAAGGAACAGATGAAGAGAAAGTAGAGAGTGAGAGAGACATGATAGAGTGGAAGAGGGACAAGAGAGAAAGACAGAGAGAGAGACACATAGATACCAAGATAGGGTGGAAGAGGGAGAAAGACACAGAGAGAGAGAGGGCGAGAAAGAAAGAAAGCGACACAAAGATGCAAAGATAGTGTGGGAAGTGTTATTTCTGTATCCAAAATGCCATTGTTCCTAACGAGCACCTGCTCCCTTGTTAGATGTCATACTGCTCACTGTTACACATATTATTAGCTGCACCTAGGTATTTCAGGCCAACTGACTAAGCCGTCCCACCGTTAAGATTGCCCATAAAAGTGGACTTTGACCTCCCCGAGTGTATTGATAATTTCTTTAGGAATGTTTTCTGAGAAAAATAGGTCGCTTTTGATATCCCCGTTTGTTCAATATCAAATGACAGTCTACATTTAACCTGAAACACATGATGAAAAAACACTACTTATTTGGACAAATTGAATAGTCAATCTGCGATCAAAAGTGAAATAGGTCATGTTTGTATTACTAGGTATTACACTTTCTTAGTGAAGCAAAAACCTTTTGAAGTCACAACTGGGATTAGAAACCAGACTCAGAGAGTAAAGCACCTAATGGATACATTGTATATAAAGACTGAAGTTAGCAAAGGCTTTCACATCGATCTAATATTGATTGTAACAACAATATATCCCAGACACCCGGTGCCTTTACTGACATGCAGTAATCCTTCCATATGTTCACCGCTATTGCTTTTTAGGCCCTATGGAATCTGTTATGGTAACTGATTTTTCTCATAGACGTTTTCTACATACGACATGTTTAGGTGATAACTTCAACCTAGTCTATTAATAATGGGGCATCTGTTGTTGTGTGTCTGTGTGCGCTTGGAGCATAGTATATTACCCTTCCTGGGATGACGACGGAGTTACGACGCTTTACAAACTGATTTAACAGTAGTAGTAGTTGTAGTTGTAGTAGTAGTAGTAGTAGTAGTAGTAGTAGTAGTAGTTGTAGTAGTAGTAGTTGTAGTAGTAGTAGTAGTAGTTGTAGTAGTGGTGGTAGTGGTGGTAACAGTAGCAGTAGTAGTTGTTGTAGTAGTAGTTGTAGTAGCAGCAGAAGTAGTAGCAGTAGTAGAGGTTGTAGTAGTAGTAATAGTACTTATAGCGGTAGTAGTACTCAGTAGTAGTAAGAGCTCAGGTCACAAATCAGTTTAAGTTAAGCAACGTTCAGCGCGGAGAGTCCTTGGATGGGTGACCGTGTTTGGCAGCTTGACTCCTGAGTTTCTAGGACTTCAGTCCTGCCCCACATCGACTCACATGTGATACAAATTGCCCCTGTTCTCCCAGCAGAAAATGGGTACCCGGTGGGATAAGTCACGTGACTAGTAATAGTCTAGCGCCACACAGGCAGCTTGAGTTATCAGGGGTAATAATAATAGCCTGTAGCACTTTGAGTGTAGTGCGGAATTCAGCGCATTATAAATTCCCTTATTATTAGTAGTAGTTGTAGTCTTAGTAGCATCAGCAGCAGCAGCAGCAGCAGCAGTAGTAGTAGTAGTAGTAGTAGTAGTAGTAGTAGTAGTAGTAGTAGCAGTAGCAGTACACACATTTATTATCAGTGTGATGTTATTGTGATACAGATGAGCACCGAATCAGAACACCCCGACTACACGTGGTGTTCGACGTGCGGGAAGGTATGTACAGACCCCTGCACACTGAAGTGTGACCACACCTTCTGTAGGACATGTCTCACCCAGTACTTACAGTCAAGACAGGATGTCATACAGTCCAAGACATTCTCCTGTCCCCACTGTCGTCAGGCTTCTATAGTTCCCGACCCCGCCCGACCAACGGAGGAATGGGTGGAGCAGTTTGCAACCAGTCACATGAAGCCACCTGCTGACTGTCTTCCTGTAGTGTCTGACAGCAAGGGTGTGCCAGCAGGTACGTTTCAGCAGATTCATTCATCAGCCAGTTCTAGTTATCTTGATTTGGTTTCTTATGGAATCCTAGGGAAATCGACATTTTGCCATTTTTTGCTTGTTTTGTGAGGGTTTACATAGTTTCTTGCTGCGTTCACCAATATTTTAGAAATGACGGAGCACAATAAAGGGAAAACCACAATGAGTTTCACCCATTCTCTCAATTTGAATGTACAGAATCGAACCTTGACTTCCGGCATCAGTGAATGCCCATCTCACTTCTCACGTGTTGCCCACCATTTTTGATTATCCAATGTTTGTTTGTTTCTGTGTTGTTTTACGCCGCACTCGGCAATATTCCAGCTACATGGCGGCGGTCTGTAAATACTCGAGTCTGGAGCAGGCAATTCAGTGATCAACAGCAGGCAGTACAATGATTGACATCATGAGCTTCAAACTACGCAGTTGGGACACGATGACATGCGTCAACCAAGTTACCGAGCCTGACCACCAGATCCCGTTAGTCGCCTCTTACTATAAGCATGGGTTGATGAAGACCAATTCCAACCCGCATCTGATTATCCAGTGCATTATATGGGCATTATTATGAGCTTAATATTTGGACGATTCGTTAGCATAGCTTTGTTTCAAGGTCGATTCAAATGACAGGACGCTAAAAGAATTTACTGTCATGACCAAACTAAAGATAAGTGTGTTTAAAGGCGATGACGTCACTTATGAATGGGCGGGTATATCTTGGAACAGAGATATTATTCAAATAATAATCGACAAAACAAGCGATCCTGAATTGACTAAGTTAAATTCCATATTCCTATATTTTCACTACTTTTTCAAGCACTCTGTAATACTAATTACAAACAATCAAAATTTGATGCTTACCCCTAAATAACATATTATCTTTATGTCCCTGGTCATTTTCAGTCTATGTTTCAGAAATGAGCTGCTACACCTGCAGTGAGAATGGAAACTGCACTCAAGGTAGTGTTTGGTGCGGTATGTGTGAGATCTACCTGTGCATAACATGTCACAGAATCCACAGGAGTTTGCCCATGTCACGTGATCACACAGTTACTGATGTTGTTGAAGGAACCACGATCAATGCCAGGAACACGAGGAACAAGTGCGAGGAACATTCAAACAGAGCCATGGAATTTCACTGCAAGGATTGCACAAAGACAGTATGTCCGGTCTGCTGTATTCTGTACCACAGGAAGTGTGAATCTGTTGTCACTCTTCAGTCTATGATTCCGGAAATGAGAAACACCTTGCAGGGAAAACTCGCAGATTCTATCTGCTAAAAATCCTGAATATCCATTCGAAAGTAAGCGCCAACAGGGATATCTACACCCAGATGCAACAGGGCATAACTGGCTTGCAGGCTGAAATCACTTCCTACTGTCAGTTAACGAGGGAACTGATCAGAGAGAAAAGAGGATGTTATGATGCAGGGCCTCGACAAACGGACGAAGGAACAGAGGGAGACGCTACAAGATCTCATCAAGACAGGGGAGAGCGAAGAAAGGATGCATAAACAACAGGTGGAGTTCATCCAGAGAACCCTGGAGTCTGAGGGCACCATGGACTTATATGAGGTGTACCAGGCCTGTCTATCCGGGGAGATCCTTGCTACATCGGTAGAAGATTATGCCATAACTGAAGCTGAACCGGGCTTGGCGGTCAATGTTAAAGCAGAGTTGGAAAATATTAGAATTGTTCTGAATGAGTCACTGTTTCTTTGCTCAGGGCCTGACAATACAGGAAGCGTAACGTCGGCTATAACCAAAGACATGGAAGGTAAAGATGGCCTAGGTTGTACTGATGCTGTAGACGAATCGGATGATATAGATGGAAAACTGCAGACTGAACAGGAACTTGAGTCTGACAGACAGGGACTACAGTTGGACATAGATGAACAGATCGAAACAGATTCCAAACCTAACTTCCGAAAAGGACCTGCTGCAGATTTACATAATATGAAGGTCCGAGGACGAACAATGACGAAGGTGATACAGATATGGAGAAATACGCGAGATGTGAATTGGTCTGGTTTATGAGCGCGGACGAGCCGAATAGCCCACACATGGCCATAATGTATACACGTTCCAAGAGCCCAAAGCTACAGGAATCGAGAAAAAGGCACAACTCGGCTCCACAGCTGAACAACGGCTCCCATACTACTGTGAAAGCTCGTCCAGATGGCGAGGAGTCTTTGGAAGTTGGATCGCACCCTGGAGGCATGTTTGACAAACAGGAAGAAGGTGATGTGGTGACACCTGGGACCATATTTACAGAAACATTATCACTAAAATCAGAGACAGTGTATCAGTCAGCTCCAAATTTAACAACGAAACTTCACACTGGAACTGACTATTCCCTGTACCCTGAAACAGAGCGTAGCTGCTCATCAGGCCATCGAAATCAGTTGACATGGAATGGCGATCCCTCTCCGACAAACTTTGAACAAGTATCGCAACTCGAATTGAAGAGGGATTTCAGCCCTGTGACAGTTTCAGAACGAACTGAAAACCAAGGGCTAGAGGGGCAAGAATCTGATAGTTTTAAATCAAAGATTTTGCTTCCACATGATAATGACTCCGTTTTGGAGGAATCCTTTACACAGTCGGTGCTAATGTTGAAAGTGGACAAAGAGAAAGGAGAGGGTCATGAAGAATCAGATGAAGATTTGCCAGAGGATACAAAAACTGATACCCAAGAAACGGTGAGGTTAGATGTTGAAGATGTATCTGGAAATTTACAAGAATGTCAACGATCTGAAACAGAGAGGGCCTATAAATTTGATTCGGATTCTTTGCCTGTGTATCATGATACCATACATACTGTGAATAGCTTGGACATTGTTGTACTTTCTTTGGAGCACGGTTTTGTATATGCAGTTACCAATGCAATGGAAAGCGCAGTAAAATGTATATATCGCACAAGCAAGAAAAAATGCGAAAATACTTTGAGGATCTCAAAGCTTCCTTGGGCCGTGGCAAAGATGTCCAACGATATGGTGGCGGTCACCGTTCCAAGAGCGAGGCAGATCGTTTTAGCCAACGTTGACCCTGAGTTACAACTTCATTCAGTCATAAGAACACACAAAAGTTACTATGGTCTAGCAGTGTTGGAGGAATCCATGTTTGTTGCGGGCAACACTTCCGATTCGTGTATAGATATACTCGCTTTGTCTGGTAAGGTAATCAGAACAATATCTAACAGTTCTGTAAAATGTCCGAACTTTATCTGTTCAACTCCAAAACAAGGTTTCATAGTATCGGATCGTCAAACAAAAACTGTGATATGCTTCGCGGCCACGGGAGAAGTGGACTTCACATATTCCTCAAAGGAACAGGCATTCAAGGAGAACAGAGGCATAGTGACCAGTGACTCGGGGCACGTCTTGGTGGCAGACGCTGAGGCTGACAAGATAGTGCTATTAACGGAGAAGGGGGAATATGTCAGAGATGTATTAACATTTAAGGATGACATACGTAAACCAGTCGGTCTGTACCTTCATGGTGCATTTCTGTATGTCACCCAGTGGCAGAACAGGATCAAAGTGTTCAAGTTTACCTGAACTTTAAAGTGGCAGATACATGTCCATGGTTTACGTCTTTGAAGTTGCACAGTTTGTTCAAGTGTACCTGAACGTGAAGGCACTTTATTGTACCAAGACTAAATAGTAGGATCCACGATAGATGGTTCAAATGCTGGAGTTTACCAAGACTTTGAAGAGTAAGAGAAAGGTGCGCATTGTCACGTTTACCAAAACAGGTAATATGAGAGTCTAGAACAAGGAAACCAGTGGTTGAATGCATGAGTTCCTGAGTTCAGTGTTGTGTCTTTTTTTTGTTGAAAAGATCCAGTTAACTGTACCCATGAACATCACATTTTTATTACAAAAAGTAAAGAAATGGAGGTGACATAAAGTTAAGAAACACCAAATAATATGTTTGATGACGTCTGAAGGTACCAGTGAATTATTCATGCTAAAACAGATAGCGTCAAAATACAGATGTTCTTAACACACGATAATTTTACTTGGTTTTGTTTCTTCATTGCTTAACGCCACACTCAGCAATATTCCAGCTGTATGGCGGCGGTCTGTCTGGACCAGACAATCCAGTGATCAACATCATGAGCATCTGTCTACGCAGTTGGGATACGATGACATGTGTCAACCAGGTCAGCGAGCCTGACCACCTGATCCCGTTAGTCGCCTCTTACGAGAAGCATAGGTTGCTGAAGACCAGTTCTAACCCGGATCTTCAATGGTACACGATAATTCGAAATACTGCTGAAACTCTTCTGATCCTTATTTCCGTGAAAATGAAGGAACAAGCGACTTGATTACACACAACACGTTGTTATTCCATTCACCTTCAGTACAACAATGTTGGCCCTCCGGTGTTTCCTATGGTCTGACATAAAACAGCATTCGTCACCATTTGTCACCATTGTTATATGCGAAAACACGACAAACCAATCAGAACGCGCGTCATGAATGCGGTGCTTTGAAATAATCCCGTGTACTTAAATAGTTTATGGCAGTATGTGATTGTTTAAAAAATCATGAAAAATATATATCGTACAGCACAAAGAACGTGGCTAACAGATTTATGTTGCCCTAATGTGAAGTTTTTAAGAAGAATAATGCCGTGAACGGAAAAGATTCAAACACACGCACGTGCGTTTGTTTACATAACGGCTCTCATGGGTCCAACTAAGTGGGTGTTTTTTGACGATCTTGCGGACTGGTTTTGGAGATATTACGTCCGCTTTCCGACATTTTTAGGTAATTGTTTTGGGATTTAATGCAGCTGAAAACATTTTTACATTATTTGCATATTCCATAAAACAACTCCCTTGTATAATTCTTAAACCCTACTCAGAAATATACATTTTGAACTGTTGGTAATAATTACATAAGAATATGTGTTCCACAAATACGTTTTCTCTTTCTTTTAGTTGTATCATACGAAGCTCCTAAAGGGACATTTGCGTAACCAAAATTAGAAAAATAATCTCGTAATAACGACTTTAATACTCGTTATAACGACTTTTAGATCTCGTTATAACAACTTCCCAAACACTCGTAATAACGACTTTTAAATCTGGTTATAACGACTTTTGGTGGCCTTCATCTACTTCTGATTTGGGTCTTCTGCATGGACTGCTTGAACATAGAGTTCATGGTTGGGACCAACTTGATGAGCATCTGTTCTTTAGAGTCCTGCGTAACATCCTTGCTTCCCTTGTTTGATCTGCAGCATGGCTGAAATGTGCTTCCCTGACATAATGTGAACCTTTCTTCACTTTCTGAACTAATTTCCGTTTTATGTATTTGCTTTTCGTCTCTGTGTATCTCATCATGAATAATAAAAGACCGGTATAGTTATGTGTACTGACTTTAGCAAATCCTGAGTATATTTAGGTGTGACGGTTAGTGCTCTGTACAAGAGGCCATATTATTTCATTATCACAATAGCAAGCAGTCACTGTGCATGTTTTACCTGGTACTTCACCTGGCTTAAATGTTATCCGCTGAAAGTCATATGGTTGCTATGGCAACTAGGGTCACTCACTCACTCGCCCACCCACACTTTCACACATTCGCTGTCATCCACTCACTCACTCATGGACAGTGGGGTAGCCTAATGGTTAAATCATCCTCTCATCACGCTGAAGACCCGGGTTCGATTACCCAAATGGGGACTATATGTGAAGCCTATCTCTGGTGTCTCCGGCGTGATATTGCTGGGATATTGCTAAAAGCAGCGTAAAACCATACTCACTCACTCACTCACTATCACTCACTCACTATCTATCCCTCACTCACTCACACACTCAATGTGTTCCACTCAGCTCAGCCACTCATTCACTATCGTACACTCACTCATTCATTATCGTATACTCACACGGCTCCGCTCTACCCTGCTCAGTCACTCACTCACTCAGCTCATTCACATCCATCCACACAACAGGAACATTTCCTTCTCCTATTGATGAATTAGAACTGGACCAGATCTACAAGTTGCTGCTGGTGGTATTAATAATCCACATCACCGCATATTTTCACTACACTTGTTTTAAGACTCTTGTTTCCGTCCAAGAAGTCAGTATCCTTTTCAGATTTGGCTTGATGATATGTTCACAAACAAGGTCAGCTGTCGACATTATCCGGTAGAACAGCACTTCCCTAAGCATTCTTATCTGATTCTTATCTCATTCTTATCTCAGTCCGTCAGAACAAACCAGAACTTAATAATTCACCAAATTGCATGTAACGAGAATTTGTTGAATAAATCAGATTTATGGGAGGGTTTCCTTTTGAAACATGTTTCCGACATGAGATATGGAATACTTCCTAATGTAGATAAGACTTAGGCCAGCTGTCAAAATGTTTTTGAACCTTGTATTTGTTGTTTGGGCAACTTGGGGCTGCCTGCCAAATCTCTTTTGAAGACGTATATTCCTGTTCAGACTGATTAAGAATGTATTACTGACTGACTGATGGTGTTACGTCGTTTTTAGCAATATTCATGCAATATCACGGCAGAGGACACCAGAAATGGGCTTCACAAATTGGACCCATCTGGGGAATCGAACCCTGGCCTTCTGGCGTGACGAGCGAACGCTTTAACCACTAGGCTACCCCACCGCCTCTAAGACTGTATTAACTTATTCTAGGTTATTTGTGTCCATATATTTGGGTATTAAAGAAAATATGGATATAATAAACTTTGAAATTTACCATAATAGTTGTCTAAAAGACACTTATTTTAACCTGATGTTTATGTTAAATTCATTCTTGATATACTTGTCCTGATGGGTTTCAGTAGGTCTGTCATAAATGTTTGACTTGTCCTAGTCCCACAGTTCCCATCAGGTGAGAGAATCATAGTCTCACAGTTCCCATCAGGTGAGAGAATCATAGTCTCACAGTTCCCATCAGGTGAGAGAATCATAGTCCCACAGGTCCCATCAGGTGAGAGAATCATAGTCTCACAGTTCCCATCAGGTGAGAGAATCATAGTCCCACAGCTCCCATCAGGTGAGAGAATCATAGTCTCACAGTTCCCATCAGGTGAGAGAATCATAGTCCCACAGGTCCCATCAGGTGAGAGAATCATAGTCCCACAGCTCCCATCAGGTGAGAGAATCATAGTCCCACAGCTCCCATCAGGTGAGAGAATCATAGTCTCACAGTTCCCATCAGGTGAGAGAATCATAGTCCCACAGGTCCCATCAGGTGAGAGAATGATGGTCCCACAGCTCCCATCAGGTGAGAGAATCATAGTCCCACAGTTCCCATCAGGTGAGAGAATGATGGTCCCACAGCTCCCATCAGGTGAGAGAATCATAGTCCCACAGTTCCCATCAGGTGAGAGAATGATCGTCCCACAGCTCCCATCAGGTGAGAGAATCATCGTCCCACAGCTCCCATCAGGTGAGAGAATCATAGTCCCACAGCTCCCATCAGGTGAGAGAATCATAGTCTCACAGTTCCCATCAGGTGAGAGAATCATGGTCCCACAGTTCCCATCAGGTGAGAGAATCATAGTCCCACAGTTCCCATCAGGTGAGAGAATCATGGTCCCACAGCTCCCATCAGGTGAGAGAATCATAGTCCCACAGTTCCCATCAGGTGAGAGGATCATAGTCCCACAGTTCCCATCAGGTGAGAGAATCATGGTCCCACAGTTCCCATCAGGTGAGAGAATCATAGTCCCACAGCTCCCATCAGGTGAGAGAATCATGGTCGCACAGTTCCCATCAGGTGAGAGAATCATGGTCCCACAGCTCCCATCAGGTGAGAGAATCATGGTCTCACAGGTCCCATCAGGTGAGAGAATCATAGTCCCACAGTTCCCATCAGGTGAGAGAATCATAGTCTCACAGTTCCCATCAGGTGAGAGAATCATGGTCCCACAGTTCCCATCAGGTGAGAGAATCATAGTCTCACAGCTCCCATCAGGTGAGAGAATCATAGTCTCACAGTTCCCATCAGGTGAGTGAATCATAGTCCCACAGGTCCCATCAGGTGAGTGAATCATAGTCCCACAGCTCCCATCAGGTGAGAGAATCATAGTCTCACAGGTCCCATCAGGTGAGTGAATCATAGTCCCACAGCTCCCATCAGGTGAGAGAATCATAGTCCCACAGCTCCCATCAGGTGAGTGAATCATAGTCCCACAGGTCCCATCAGGTGAGTGAATCATAGTCCCACAGGTCCCATCAGGTGAGTGAATCATAGTCCCACAGCTCCCATCAGGTGAGAGAATCATAGTCTCACAGTTCCCATCAGGTGAGAGAATCATAGTCCCACAGCTCCCATCAGGTGAGAGAATCATAGTCCCACAGCTCCCATCAGGTGAGAGAATCATAGTCCCACAGCTCCCATCAGGTGAGAGAATCATAGTCCCTCAGCTCCCATCAGGTGAGAGAGAATCATAGTCTCACAGCTCCCATCAGGTGAGAGAATCATAGTCTCACAGCTCCCATCAGGTGAGAGAATCATAGTCCCACAGCTCCCATCAGGTGAGAGAATCATAGTCCCATAGCTCCCATCAGGTGAGAGAATCATAGTCCCACAGCTCCCATCAGGTGAGAGAATCATAGTCTCACAGTTCCCATCAGGTGAGAGAATCATAGTCCCACAGCTCCCATCAGGTGAGAGAATCATAGTCTCACAGTTCCCATCAGGTGAGAGAATCATAGTCCCACAGCTCCCATCAGGTGAGAGAATCATAGTCCCACAGCTCCCATCAGGTGAGAGAATCATAGTCCCACAGTTCCCATCAGGTGAGAGAATCATAGTCCCACAGCTCCCATCAGGTGAGAGAATCATAGTCCCACAGTTCCCATCAGGTGAGAGAATCATAGTCCCACAGCTCCCATCAGGTGAGAGAATCATAGTCCCACAGTTCCCATCAGGTGAGAGAATCATGGTCTCACAGTTCCCATCAGGTGAGAGAATCATGGTCTCACAGTTCCAATAAGGTGAG